TCACAGAAATGACAAACGTATTGTTTTATAAAAAAAAAATCTAAATACAAAACTTTGACATTTTTTTCTCTTTTGGGGGTGTCCCCCTCTCTTCTCTTGTCTCTATGCCTCTCTTTCTCCCTAAGTAGATTTTTTTAAAAATACCTTTTCCATTCTGAATCTTCTCCACATCCACTCCCACCAATGAGATTGTCCTAGAATGTCCTGGTAACACTTTTAAAATGAGCTATGGCATAATTTTAGATTTTAATTGTTTTTCAAGATTAGTCTTATGTGTCTGTGGTCTCATGTCTCAGTTATATTTGCCACAGGATAGGTTTCTCTTTGTGCTGTCTAAGCACATACTCAATCCCACTGTCATTGGAGCGATTCTTACTCAAAGTCACCCTTTACAGGGTTTCTCAGAATGCATCCATTTAAGGAGTAGACTGCATCATTTTTCTCCAGTTGAGCAGCTGCTGGGTCTGAGCTGCTTCCCTGGGGGGTAGATGCCGGATGCTGATCCCACAGCTCCACCAGGGCTCCTTTAGATAATCTAGTGGTACCCAATTATAGAATTGATCCGCTAAGTCACTCCAAACTTTTTTCTCTTTGTTTGGTGAGTCATTCTCTATATTTGTTGAGCATTTTCAATGTATCTAGAGATGTGACAGAAGCTGTTTCCGGGAAGAAAATGAAATTTACTGCCATTGAATCAGTTCTGACAGTACCCTGTGGACACAGTAGGACTGCCCCGGAGGGTTTCTGAGACTCTTAAACTTTACAGGAGCAAAAAGCCTAATTTTTCCTCATGTGGAGGGACTGGTGGGTTCGAAGTACTAACCTTACAGTTAGCAGCCCAGTGTGTAACCCACTATGCCATCAAGGCTCTGGAGCAAAGCAGGAACTAAATTCCAGTTTTGCATTGGACAGACATCAGTCACCTGCACACTCTGTTCTCAGCACAGATGCTGAATGGATGACAAGAACAGCCCTGCTTCGGAGAGCAGGGAAGATGAGCCTTGTACACATCCTCCACTGCATAATGAAGTAAGAGAAAGCAGTATGCCAGAGTAGCAGAGAATACACTACTTACTTCTAGCCTAGCAAATCTTTGGTTCTTCCTGGAGGGCATCGAGTCCGTCTTTAGCTCTTGGCCCGGCTCAGATGTATCTTTTCATTTCTCTGCGGTGGTTTTAGCTTCCTGATGAACTCTGCTAATGCACCGAGGAGCTCCAGCTGCCTAGCTCCTCTCGTGCATGTAGTTCTGTACTGACTGCTGACTTGGTGCCTGGCACTGTTTCAGACACTGACTAGATAGCAGTGAAGAAAACACAAGGGCACATTCCTGTGTTTTGAACGAGATGCATGGCAAATTGCACAGTATCTTTGAAAGTAAGTGTATCACAGCTTTTAAAGTCTGGTTTTGTCTTGTTTTATATTTCTTCTATTAAGAAGGTGTGGGACATTTTCTGGGTGTCATTTCAGAGAAGCTGATGTAACGGATTTCATGGAGGAAGGGTATGGTTTGGTAAAGGTATTCATCGATGGAAATGAGGCCTTGAGGTAATTAATTTACCCAGGACAAGTCTGAAAGTTAAAGATTGGGTATGGTTGAGTATGACATCGCTACTTCTCCCTTTAAAAATTCCATACACCATTACATGAATTAATGTTGAGCAAAAATTCACTTTAGATTTCTTTTATACCACTGAGGCAGTTAATTCGGTGAATCAATCTTTCCTTATAATGTGCTTGAGTGGCAGTTGAGTGGTTATGAGTTGAGCTGCTAACTGAGAGGTGGACAGTTCGAAACCATCAGCCACTCTGCAGTAGAAAGATGAGGCTTTCTACTCCCATAAAGAGTTACAGTCTGGGAGAACCACAGGCCCCATTTGGCCCCACCCTGTTGGATCACCGTAAGTCAGAACAGACCTGATGGCAGTGAGTTGAGGCTTTTTAATGGCTTTTAATGGTTCATCCACACCAGCCACTTTGAAGAAAAGATGTGGCAGTCTGCCTCCTTAAAGGAGCCTGAAGGGCCGGTTCTACCATGTCTTACAGAGTTACTATGAGTTGGCATCTAACTGACTTGTTACTATGATCTGATAAGGGCAACCCCAGTGTTTAAACCACCCATAATTTCAGACTTTTTGAGCATTCTTACTTGCCTTATTCTGGATTTTAACCTTATAAAATTCCTTTACTTCTCTTCCTTCACACAGTAGTCCCTTTAACATGTCTAAAATTTTTTTCCAAAATGCTTTTGAAATGTAGGCAGTCTATATCACCAAAATGAGCAAAACGCCTTGTACTAATTCTAGCCTGTCTTGCAGGCAAAACTATTTCAAGATCTTATAGTGCTGTTCCATTTTTGAACTTAAAATTGCTAATAAACCATATATTGGGTCTCAAAGTAAGGTTTCCAGTTAGGAAGAGGTCACCATGAAAATTAAACTAAACTGTCACTTTGAAAGAATGTGAGGGGACGTAGTCATGAATGGCATTGAGAGGGGAGATAGAGACCATGACGAAGAAACCAGCTGCATACTTTTGCCATTTTCTGGAAGGAAATCTTGGCGGCATAGTGGGCACACACTGAGCTACTAAGCACAGCTTTGGGATTCTAACCCACCACCTGCTCCTGGGAGAAAGACGGGGCGATCTGCTTCTATAAAGAGTTAACGTCTCAAAAACTCACAGGGGCTGTGAGGCAGAATCAACTCGATGGCAATGCATCAATAAATACATGAAGTTGTGCAGACAACAATTTGCAAGTGGTTATATTAAGAGAAACTACATGCTCAATATATTACTCTTTATAGATTATTAAATTAAGTATATGGCATTTATTATGAGGTCTGTATTAGTTTTCTAGGGTTACTGTAACAAATTATAACATGTCTGATGGTGTAAGTAGCTGAATTTTTTTCTCACGCAATTTTAAAAGTTAGCAGTCCAAAGTCATAACTGTTTCCTTTGAGGGTCTTTTTCAACAGTTGCTTCTTGCCTTTTCAAAGCTTCTGGAAGCAGGTGGCATTTCTTGTCTTGTAGGTGCTTCACTCTGACCTCGGCCTCTGTTGCTCCCTGGCATACTTCCCTCGCTGTCTTTCTGGGTCCTGCCCTCTTCTGATGTGGACACATGTTTTTGGATTAAATGCCTTCTCGAATCCAGCATGTTGCCATTTTAACTAATGTCCTCTACAAAAACCTCCATTTCAAATCGTTGTGTTCTGATGCTCTTGATGGGCATGGAGTTTGTGGGGGACTCTCTCTTTTTTTTTTTTATCATTTTATTAGAGACTCATACAACTCATCACAATCCATACATGCATCAATTGTGTAAAGCACATTTGTACATTCATTTCCCTCATCATTCTCAAAACATTTGCTCTCCA